GGCAGGGGGACACGCACCGACCCCCGCTGGGGCAGGGGGACACGCACACACACGCACCGACCCCTGCTGGGGCACGGGGTCCCACACACACACACTGACCCTCACTGGAGGTACAGGCTTCCTCATGCTGACTGCTCTAGTCACCCTCTTGATGGTTGTGATACCCATAAATTGCCTCCTAACAAGTCATTGATCCACTAATTACTGCTGATTGCTGACTGATCTCTGGTTCCTCCATCATTGCTCCTTCCCCTCTGACGGTCGTTTTGATTTCAGATGGATGTCTGCATTTTCTCCATTGTCAATCACAACGATCCTCCTTCGGGGCTCTGTCTCTTTTTCTTCAGGCACCTCCCATCTCAACTAACTCTCCCACAGCCAATGACCCCCAGCCCAGCTCCTCCCTGACAGTGTTTTACAATTAGGAATGCTGAGTTGTTGTAAACTCAGCTGGAAAAGCACTGGCCTGAGTGTTGAAGTGTATGATGTTGGCTCCTGGCTGCAGCAGGATATTGCTGGTGCGTAAAGTGTGTGCTGCATCGCCCAGAGGCAGGTCAGAGGGTCGCTCGAGGGAACTGCTGCTCTCCTGCCTCCGCAGCAGAAGGTGCATGTTCTTGCAGATGATGCCGCTGGAGTTGAGTGAACTGTCTGACAGACTGCGGTCATAAAGCTCATACAGCTCCACAGAAGGCTGGCTGTTCCGGGGGAAAGTGTTGCCACTGGGCTCACTTGGGAACAGGAAGATCCCACTTGCATTCCGACTGCGGCCCCCAAATTCATTGCTTCTCTTGGATGGGTCTTTGCTCACAGTGAGATGCAGGTGAATGGAGAGTTGATCGAGGTGCATGGGGAGAGGCATGAGGCTGTTCACAGTCAGCTCAATGTCCAAGTATCCTCCCACATGCACCACAGCACATGCTGGATTGAAGCATAACCTCTTCAGTTGGACAAACCCATCCATTGGCAGCACGAAGCGGTCATCTAAAAACACAGAGCACAGCACGGCAGTTACAATATACAATAAACCTTTTCCCTCAAACCAAACACACACAGGAGCTGCCCCCCACAACCCACACCCAGTGACTCCTGTGATCAAACAGGCCAGCATGATTTCTCAGCGTGTTTTGATGATAGATGTTTTCTGGCCTCACCTTGCCCATTAACTGGCTGCTGAGCCAGATCCAGGATCTCCTGGCAGAAGTGGACACGTTCTGTATCTGTTAGATTGCTGTCACTAGCCAGCAAGCTGCTGGTCTGGAGGTAGCTGTGAAATTGGATTTAGGGAGGGTAACAGAACGAGTCATGTGACAGAAAATCCAAATCCTGCAGCTCCCAGCCGCTCTCTGAACTCCACCACCAACACAATCACACACTTCAACAAAACTCGCAACATTGTGGTACCATTTCCGTCAAAACCATTGGACAGTGAGTTAATTATTGCTAGAATTACACAATTAACAACATATGCAGGTCATTAAGCTCAGCTGGTTTATGCTGATGTTTATATTTTACAGGGGCTTCCTTACTCCCATCTTGGTCTATCTCACCCATTAGACCACAAGATGTAGGAGCAGATCAGTAGACCCTTCAGCTCATTCAGTCTGCTCTGCCATTCAATGGGATCAGGGCTGATCTGATAAATCCTATTTCCTGCCTTTTCTCCACTACCCCAATTCCTTTACTAAATCAAAATCTGTCTCTCAGCCTCGGATAAACATATCCAGCTAATTCTGCCCCAGGCCTGATGTGTCAATCACAGCTACTGATGCAGGTCAAGCAGTAAGAATAGACACTCTGACACTGAGGAGAAGGTCGTCAGACAGACAGTTGTTTAATTGGGGAGCCTTCCCCTGACACACTGTTCATCTGGACACAGTCCCATTGGCTCCACAGCCCCGCTATCCAAGTCAGCAACCCATGCCAACCAATAAATACCACTTACTTGGTCCGTGGCCTACTTTGCCCTGACATTTTAAAAAGAACAAAGAACAAAGAAAATTACAGCACAGGAACAGGCCCTTCGGCCCTCCAAGCCTGCGCTGATCCAGATCCTCTATCTAAACCTGTTGCCTATTTTCCAAGGATCTGTATCCCTCTGCTAACTGAGTCCCCCCCTCTGGGAAAAAGCTTCTTGCTATCCACCCTGTCTGTACCTCTCATGATTTTGTAGACCTCAATCAGGTTCCCCCTCAACCTCCGTCTTTCTAATGTAAATAATCCTAATCTACTCAACCTCTCTTCATAGCTAGCGCCCTCCATACCAGGCAACATCCTAGTGAACCTCCTCTGCACCATCTCTAAAGCATCCACATAATTTTGGTAATGTGGTGACCAGATTAAGTGCTCATCCACATACTACTTCAATGTTGTGATGGTACCTGCCCCCACCACCCTCTCAGGCAGCACGTTCCATATTTCTACTACCCTGTGGGTGAAAAGAAATTTCCTCAGGCAACCTGTAAACCACTTACCCCTCACTCTTAAACTTATACCCCCAGTCTTAAACATGTCTGCCATGGGGAAAAGATTCTCACGATCAACCCCATCTGTGCCTCTCATTATTTTGTATACCTCAATCAGATTCCCACCTCGTCAGCCTCCTCTGCTACAGGGAAAACAAACCCAGTCTGTCCAGTCTCCCCTCATTACTGAGCCTTTCCATCCCAGGCAACATCCTGGTGAATTTCCTCTGCATACTCTCCAGTGCAATAACATCCTTCTGATTGTGTGGTGACCAGAACTGCATACATTATTCCATCTGTGGCCTAACCAATGTTATATAAAGTGTAACATTCACTCCTTGTTCCTTTATTCTATGCCTGGCTCATGAAGACAAGCATCCTGTATGCCTTCATCGCCATCCTGTCTACCTGTGCTGACATCTTCAGGGATCTATGGACTTGGACACCAAAGTCCCTTTGTTCCTCTGTACTCCCAAGGGACCTACCATTCATTGTGTATATCCTTCCCTTGTAGACCTCTCAAAATGCATCACCTTGCCCTTATCAGATGGAATTAAAATCTGTCATTGCTTTACCAGCTGATCAATTTCAGACTGTAGCCTGAGACCATCCACTTCACTATCAACAACACTATGTCATCTGCAAACTTACTAATTATACCTTCTACATTCACATCCAAATCATTAATGTACATAACAAACAGCAAGGGACCCAGCACCAATCCCAATGCTACATTGCTGGCGACAGGCTTCCACTCACAAGAACAACCCTCCACCAGCACTCTTTGTCCCCTGTTTGCAGCCAATTTTGGATCCAGTTGCCAATTTGTCTTGGATCCCATGGGCTCTGATCTTTTGGACCAGCCTTCCATGTGGGACCTTTTCCTTACTGAAGTCCATGTAAGCCACATCAATCGCACAACCTTCATCAATATAGTCACCTTTTCAAAAACTTCAATTAAATTAGTCAGACAGGATCTCTCTCTAACAAATCCATGCTGACTATCCCTGATTAATCCTGTCCATCAGAATTTTTTCCAATAATTTCTCTACCATTGACGTCAGACTAACATCAGGGGAATGCAGGCAGCCCATGGAGGGTTAACTTTCTTTGGAAGAAAGCAGAGATATTGTTTCAAGTTCAATGACTCAATGAAAGTTCTGTGGAAAGGTCAGTGGATCCAAACGTTAACTCTGCTTTCGCTCCACACGTGCTGCTGAGTTTCAGCCATAACTACCTGGCCTATCCCTGCTGCCCTTAGAACATAGAACAGTAGAGCAAAGGAACGGGACCTTCAGCCCATGATGATGCGCCGAACATGATGCCAAATTGAACTAATCCCTTCTGCCTCCCCTTGGTCCATCTTCCTCCACTACTTCCATATCCATGGGCTTATCTAGAAGTTCTTTAAATGCCCCTATAGTATCTGCTTCCACCGCTACCCCTGTGGTAGCACGTTCCACACTCCTACCAGTCTCTGTGTAAAAAACTTGCCCACCACATCTCCTTTGACCTTCCCCCTATCTGCTTAAGTGCATGCCCCTTGGTATTAGACATTTCAACTCCGGGGAAGAAGATTCTGGCTGTCAATCCTATCTATGCATCTCATAATTGTATAGACTTCTATCAAGTCTCCCCTCACCCCCGCTGCTCCAGACAAAATAACCTGAGTTTTTTTAGCCTCTCCTTATAGCTCATACCCTCTATCCTAGCAAACCTCTTTTGCACCCTCTCCAAAGCCTCCACATCCTTCCTGTAATGTGGCGACCAGAGTTAAACGCAATACTCTAAGTATTGCCTAAACAAAGTCTTATAAAACTGCAACATGACATCCTGACTCTTGTACTAAATTCCCTGACCAATAAAGGCAAGCATGCCATACGCCTTCTTTACCAGCCTATCTACTTGCATGGCTGGTTTCAGGGAGCTATGTACCTGAACCCCAAGATTCCTCTGTACATCAGTGCTGTTCAGGGTCCTGCCATTAACTGTATACTTTCCCTTAACGTTTGATATCCCAAAGTGCAGCACCTCACAGTTACCTGGATTAAACTCCATCTGCCATTTCTCTGCACATATCTGCAACTGATCTATATCCCAGTGTATCCTTTGACAACCTTCTACACTATCCACAACTCCACCGATCTTGTGTCGTCTGCAAACTTACTGACTCACCCATCTACATTTTCATCCAAGTCATTTATACGTATCACAAAATCCTTTTTGAACGTTAGCTATCTGACACTTCACCTGTGGCCAATGAAGTATTTAATATCTTAGCCAGGGACCCAGCAATCTCCTCCATGCCTCCGAGAGCCAGCAGGGGAGTTCGGTTGGGTTGGAGGGGGGAGGGTAATTTAGAAGGAGTGGATGAGCTGAGAGAGGTGGGTGCTGAGGGATAGCTGGCTGTGGTTATGTGCTGAGGGTGGGAGAATGTCCCTGAGGCAGCTGTGTGTGCAGAAGGATACTTTTGGGTCTGCTGAAGCTGTTTCTGACATTCTGCCAGTTGTTTCCTGGTGTGGGCAGTTAGCAAGGTCCAGCCTTCAGTCTGGTACGTCTTCAGTGCCTCCTGGAGATACAATGATGCTTTCTGAGGCTCCCCTTTATGCCTAGAGACAGAAAAACAAACGATCAGATTCTAGGCCATTAAACCAAGAAGGTCAGGCAGGAAATTGCTTTTATAGCAGAACAGGATTTCAGAAATCCGGCTCATGCCCCCATCGCTCCCAGTCGTGTTAACCTCTCTCCGCCCCCTCCCCATTCCAGGACAGTTTACACTAGCTCCGAGCGGCTCCTGGAGAATCAGTGGGGGACTGGCATGGAGTGATCCCGGGTGTGTGGGACTAGCACGGGAGTGATCCTAGGTGTAACACAATGATTTCTGGGGTAAGTTCAGGGTAAACAGACTGAGTCTGTGTGATTGTGGCTCTCTGATCTCACTGTCATTACCATCAGGGGAATACAGGCAGCCCATGGAGGGTTAACTTACTTTGGAAAACAGAGATAACGTTTCAAGTTCGATGACTCAATGAAGGGTCTGTGGAAGGGTCAGTGGATCCAAACGTTAACTCCGCTTTCTCTCCGCACTTGCTACTGACTTTCTCCAGTAATTTCCATTTTTTGTTTCAGATTTCTAGCATCCAAAGTTCTTTGTTTTATTTTGGAGGTTTAACTTTCCCACGGTGGGGCAAGGAGCTGGGGGAGAGCTGTGTGGAGGTCTCTCCCTTTGGAAAAGCCAGCCATTCATTCTCTATTCAGTCTCAAGCATTCACACCACAACATGCCACTTCCTGATACAATGAGACTGTTATTCTGTCACTCTGCTCCACTCGGTCACAGGGACAACCGCAGGAACCCCAGCCCATCACGCATTAGGATGGCTTGTTCTAGAACATTCCATCTACGTACATGTAGAAATCAGCAAGATCCTTCCCTAGCAGCTGAGCTGAGCGTATTTGTCCAATGGTTTTGTACATATCGAAGGCAGTAAGTGAAAGCTCCTAGAAATTGAAGACAAAGTGAGATTAGTGAATCAAGCAACACTATGGCCACATGTCAGGCACGAGTCAGGAGTGTGATGGAATACTCCCCACTTGCCTGGATGAGTGCAGCCCCAACAACACACAAGAAGCTTGATACCAAAGCAACCCCTTGATTGGCACCACATCACTCCCTCCACCACTGACACACAATTGCATAGTGTGCAGGATCACAGGCAGGATTCCCTTCCAGCTCTCCCTACACCCACACCCAAACACACCCACCCACACCCATTCAATCTTACTAAGGCCTACTTTGCAAGAGCATTCTCACCAAGTAATGCTTTTCAAAAGCCTCAACAGATGACAGTGCTTCATTCAGGGTCTTATATGGACTCTGTGGGCTGTTTGCTGAAAAAGAGCACAGGAAGTGATGTCAGTCTTTCATTTATATTGAAGTAGTAAAAGACCAGCTGCATCTAAATGTTTACAGATTTCTAAGATCAACATAATCATCTGGTGAGCCGTCCGCCCCACAGCTTCTCCGTCTATCCCTTTGGATCGCACAACATCTCATCGCCTTGACGCGGATTTCTGAACTCCTTTAATCTCAGCTGCTCCCATCTCATCGAGATGTCTTGCAGCAACATTATATCTCCGATATAGCTGACTCTGCCTGGGACATACAAGACACTGAAAGCCCTGTATAAATCCACAAGTTGCTGCATTCCCTACAGAACGAGCATTTCATGATACACAGCTGGACATTGTATCTTCTAGCATTTATCCAAATATTATAAAGCGACCTGTAGCAGGGGTCATCTCATTGTCCCTTGATTGAAGAATTACATCTACAATGAGTCATGTTTCTCCCATGGGTCTTCACGTGACAGAACAGGTTGATCTCAACACGAGGATCTTTGAGGCAGTGAGATGCAGAGGGCAGGATTCGCTTTCTTGTCTTCCTGACTCTGCCTCATCGTTAAGGTTTTTAGACTCAAAGCACGAAACAGCTTGATGGACAAGTTGCCGATATTTTGAACAACTGGGAACAAGATCCTCTGTCATCAATTTCAAAGCTGCTGAACTTCAGGGAAAGCTTCAGAAAATCTTTGCGTATTTTCTTTGTCTTCCCCTTACATTGGCCACGTAAGGACTGAGAAACCGGGAGGGAGAGTTTCAGACTATGAGTACACAGTGTCAGCCTATCCAAGTTGATTTTGCAGGAGTTTTCCCTGTATGCCTGTGGAACTGGCCTCAAGAAGGATACTAACGTTTGTTCAATGGTCTTCCCTCTGAATCTGTAAGATGCGAGAGACACACTTCTCTAATGATCTTGTGTCACAGACAAACAGAGCAGGTCCCACTACAGTACAGTAGTGTAGCGATGACCACTGCTCTGTACATGAGGACTGTTGTTGACTTATGGAGGTATTTGTTACCAAACACTCTCAGCCGTAGCTTGTAAAAGATTGAAGTGCCTCAGCTGATCCAGCGTTGGATCCCATCATCAGTGGTAGCTTTTTTCAGACAAGACGTTGCCAAGGTCTGAGAAGTATTCCAACATATTTCAAAGTTCCTCAGTTAGCGAGTATGGGAGGTAGAATATGAGACTGACCAGGTCTGGGCTGATATGCGTTTTGTTTCAGCAATGTTCAAGGACAGGCAAACTGTCTTGTGTACAGAAATGTAGATGTAGAGGATGGCTTGTAAATCTGATGTAGAATGGACATGACACTGCAGTCATCCCAAAGTGGGGTCAGGTAAGTCCACAAGGATCAATTCAGTTTTGACAAGGAAAGGATCGAGTTAGAGTTTTCCATACTGGCGCCAGAGGACTGTTGATCTAAAATGGAGTGCATATGAATTTTATTGCCTCTGGGTGTTAATGCCAAATACTGTACAGCAGTGGGACAAGACTTGTCTGTAGGTTCTAATAAAGAAAGAGTCATCAGACTTGAAATATTAATTCTGCTTTCTCCACAGATGCTGCCAGATCTGCTGAGTTTTGGCAGTGATTTCTGTTTTTATTTCAGACCTCCAGCATCTGCAGTTCTTTGTTCTACCTTGTCTGTAGGTGCTGGATGTTTGCTCAGGGGGTAAGTCTGAAAGGCGTGCTGAATTTTGATGGTGCGCAACTTACCTCTACAGCAGTCACAATCATTGAGATAACAAGATGTAGCGCTGGATGAACACAGCAGCCAAGCAGCATCAGAGGAGCAGGAGCTTTGTATCCTATAAAGAGACAGGCATAGCTTGGACCAATGCAGGTCCCCACAGCCGTCCCCTTTGTCCGAAGGAAGTGAGAGGAATTGAAGGAGTTGAAGGAATTGCAAGAATTGCCTCTTTGTAGGACACGTGGAACAATCCCTCTTCCGAAGCTGCACCGGCCCTAAACCCCACCTCTTCCTCGGTTACATTGATGACTGTATCGGCACCGCCTCGTGCTCCCACGAGGAGCTCGAACAGTTCATCCACTTCACTAACACCTTCCACCCCAACCTTAAGTTTACCTGGACCATCTCTAACACCTCTCTCCCCTTCCTGGACCTCTCTGTCTCCATATCGGGCAACCACCTCGAAACCGATATTCATTTCAAGCCCACCGACTCCCACAGCTACCTAGAATACTCCTCCTCCCACCCACCTTCCTGCAAAAATGCTATCCCCTATTCCCAATTCCTTCGCCTCCGCCGCATCTGCTCCCAGGATGAGGCATTCCACTCCCGTACATCTCAGTTGTCCTCGTTTTTCAAGGACCGTAACTTCCCCTCCTCGGTGGTCGAGAACGCCCTCAACCGTGTCTCCCACATCTCCCGCACCTCATCCCTCACACCCCGTCCACGCAATAAAAACCAAAAAAGAATCCCCCTCGTCCTCACGTACCACCCCACCAACCTCCGGATCCAACGCATCATCCTCCGACACTTCCGCCATCTGCAATCCGACCCCACCACCAAAGACATCTTTCCCTCCCCACCCTTATCTGCTTTCCGGAGGGACAACTCTCTCCGTGACTCCCTTGTCCGCTCCACACTCCCCTCCAGCTCCACCACACCCGGCACTTTTCCCTGCAACCGCAGGAAGTGCTACACCTGCCCCCATACCTCCTCCCTCACCCCCATCCCAGGCCCCAAGAAGACTTTCCACATCAAGCAGATGTTCACCTGCACATCTGCCAATGTGGTATACTGCATCCGCTGTACCCGGTGTGGCTTCCTCTACATCGGGGAAACCAAGCGGAGACTCGGGGACCGCTTTGCAGAACACCTACGCTCGGTTCGCAACAAACAACTGCACCTCCCAGTCGCGAACCATTTCAACTCCCCCTCCCATTCCTCAGACGACATGTCCATCCTGGGCCT